GGCCCGGGCTGCTGGGCCGCTCAGGCCTCCGCGCCCCTTGGGCCTCGGGACTCGAGCCTTTCGCTGGAAGGGCCGGACCTGGAGACGGTGACGGCGACCGAACCCCTCGAGCCGAGGGCCGGGCAGGGGGGCCTCCGACTGCTGCGAAGCGGCCCCCTCCCCCTTCTCTTGAAGAGTCACGGAAAAATAAGGAAGAAGGCGAGAGAAAAGGAGGCCCGAGGGGAATTTTTTCTAACTGGTGCGGTTTTCCAGCCGGGGTAGGAGGAGCGAGGTACGGAGAATGCCTGGTGCGCTCTGCGGATCCGGGCGCTTCTTTACATTTTTCACGCGCGCCGGCTCCCCGCGACCTTCCTCGCAGGTCTCAGGTTCATCCCTTCTGCATTCCTGCTGTCCTCACTCCTGTCTGCCCCTATCACCTTACCGCGGACTCCTGCAATGGCATGGCCTCTCCATCGGCCCCCTCCCTGCTGCCCTCGCTAGGGCCTAAAACACGGCAGTCACCCATCCTCCGTGCCTGCCCCTCTGCCACAGTCCAGTGCTTGGTTTTCCCATCTGCTCACCCTTTTCCACTGAAGCTTCACAGGAGCCCCTTTGCCCCTTCCTGCCTTAGCCAGGAGCGCGGTAATTATTGCATAATACAAACATAAAGGCCATGTTTATTCCATTCCTAATCTGTTCTCCACACTTGCAGTGCCTCCCTGCCCCCATCCTAAAACTGTTTTCTGCTTTGATACAAAGTCTGTAGACACTGTGCATGTAGAATAAAGAGTCAGAGTGAGTAGCATAAGGGTCGAGCCTGGCTCTGCAGTGAATAGGCTGTGTGACCTTGGTCAAATGACTTAACCTCTCAGAGCTTCAGTTTCCCCTTAAAATATGGATGACCAATCTTGTTTTACAGGTAAACATTGTGTCTGTGGTGGTAATTAAAATTGTTCACCAGATATTTTCTGGTTCTTTCCCTTCCTGGGGATGTGGTAGGAATCCACTACCCCAACTCTTGAAATTAGATGTGGCCACATGCCTTGCTTAGGGCAATGGAATGAGAGCATTGCTTTCAAGTAGAAACTTTTAAGATCCAATGGGCAAATCCCCATGTCTTGACAATTCTTTAAGCACAGTCTTGGCAAGCCTATCTTGACAACCATGGAAGTACAGAGATAGAGCCTCCAGCAGGCATCCTGGGTCTCTGTAAAGATGGCAGAGCATTCCCAGCTAAACTGCATTGGAAAAGTAGTGTGAGTAAGATTCAGGGGGTTGTTTGTTACAGCAGCATAACCCAGCTTATTCTGGCTAATAGTGTTGCTCACAAGTGCCTGGGACTTCATCAGTATTTGCTGAGTGAATAGCACCTACCATAGGCTGGTACCATTTCACGACAGTAAACCCTTTACTGTGGCTGTTGTAATCCCTGTTTTCAATCAAGGAAACCATACCAGCAAAGTTAAGTAATTTGCCTGAGGTTACACAGGTTGTAAATAGCAGAGCCTGAATTTAAATCCTACCTGTCCAGCCCCAAACCCTGTGCTCTTCCTCTTCCACAGACACTGTGCTGCCTCTCCTTAAATGGAAGGATGGAAACACACCCAGTACAATGCCTGGCACACAGTCCTGCCCAGGCACTGGGAGTTCCTCTCCAGACTGAATTCCTATAGCATTTATAATTTGAACCACACTTCAGCACAATGTTATCATGCATTGTATTCAAGTGTTTTCCATAGATAAAGCTTTTCCTCCAACAAGATCCCACCCTCCTGGATTTAAACGAAGTTTACATTCTGGAGTCAGACCGCCTGGGTTCAAATCCCTGGTCCACCACGAGTAACTGACAATCTTGGGCAATTATTTACCCTCTCTATGCCTCAGTTGTCTCTGCAGAATGGTGATGGTAATAACATAGGCCATGTTGGCGGTGCTAACAATAATATGTCCCATGGGGTTGATGTGAGGATTAAGGGATATAATATATACACAGTAAATCATGACTATTGATATACTTATTTTTCATCTTCCATGGCTCCTACTAGAATTCAGACAATTACAAGCAGTTTAATCATACTGCTTGTTTAGACTGATTTCTGGCATCATTCTGGACACAGGACAGTTGTTGTAACATCTGCAGTTGGAAGCATGACATCCACACAGTCCTACAAGTTATATTTACATAAGGTTCATTACTTGTTTTTTATTACACTTTCTATTTCCAAAGCAATTTAAAGGAAAGAAGGCATGTTTGCTTTCTTGAGAAATCTTTGTTCAGGAAACATAATACCACTTACCATTTATCTGCTCTACTGTCTTCCAGGACTTTTATATGTATTACCTCTAATCATCATTAAACTGCCATTTGGGTGTTATGATCCTCATCTGACTGTTCAGAACACTGAGCCTCAAAGAAATTAAGTTGCTTGTGATCAGACAGCTAGTAACTGCCTGAATCAGGACTTGAACCCAAGTCTCCTACTCTAAGGTTTTGCTCAGACCCCTATTCCAGGCCTCCTGACATCCCAGCTCATATCAATGAATGCCTATGCTTTGCTGACACTAGTCTTCCAAATTTCTAGATGAGGTTTTGGAAAGCTAACGAAGATTGCGACATTTCTAATTTCAGTATGTCTGGTAGGCAGCTTGCATTAAAGAGCAACCTAAGAAGATGCTCATCCTTCACTGTGGCTGAAGATTGCTAGCTGCCCACCAAAAATTCGGGAGCTGATGGACAGCTGCTCAGCTGGGGCTACATTTCCCAGCCTCCCTTGCATCTAAGCATGGCCACATGATTAGTTTTCTCAAATGAAATATGACCAAAAATGATGGTCAGTACTTCCAGGTCAGGATGTTCAAAAATTGGGTTTGCCGTCCCCACTTTGCCTCACTGGAGGCAGAGGATTCCAAGACCCCAGTAACTGGTGGACTCACTAAATGAAAGAAGCCTGGTTCCCTGCTTTACCTTGAGAAATGAAGCCACCCTCTGCTCAGGACATTGGACTGGTACATGAGTGAGAAAGAAAGAAACTTGTGTTTAGCCTCAGAAATTAGTGTTTTTGTTACAGCAGCAAGTACTGCCATCACTAATATATAATGCTTATACTAAGTCATATTTACATATAAAAAGCAAAATTGAAGATTATAACAACCATCTGAATAGTTGAAACCAAAAAATGCCACTTTAATATTCTCTACTTGCTTATTTAAGGAGAAAGCAGGTTATTTGGAGCCAGAGTTTTTCCTTTAATTTCTTCCTCAGTTATGTGTATCAGAGACCAAGTGGTCATAAAACAGTAAGAAACAAATTTACTCAGTCAACGATATTTCTTATTCTCTTACTACATGTCAGGTATCTGGGCTGAGGATGTGCTGGGACAAGACAGGAATGGTCTCATCTTCATGAAGTTTCCAGTCTGTGGGTATTAAACATGGTTTACAGCATTCAACTGACCCTTGGCCACCAAACTTCTTGGAAGCACCGAGGCTATTTGAATGCAAAATAGATACCTAAAATAAAAACTAAAATTTACTCACAAATCAACACACAAAGCTATGCTTCTTCCTCTGCTAAGTGGCTAGAGAAACAAGAATGGTGGTAGTTAAGAGCATAGATTCCAGAATCAAAATCACTGAGTTCAAATCCTGGCTCGGCCATTTTTAAGCTGCAACAATCTCGGGCAGCTTCCTCTTTTTTTCTCAGTTTCCTCATCTTTAAAATGGGGACATTAATAATACCTAGCTCAAAGGGGTTTTGTTGAGGACCAATGGAGTTAATGCAAAAATAAATAAATAAATACTAAAAACAGCATGAGATGGGCATGAGAACCCAATAAATGTTGCTGTTAATATTTGCCACCTTCCCACTGGTTATTATATTTTGTGTTTAAAAGGATACAAGGCAAGGCCTTTTCATGGGGGTTGACAGATGACATCAGGAAACAGAATTATTAATAGAACCTGCAGATATTACAAGGATTCAACTGAACCCAGACTGAGATCTTTACATTTTTCTCATCTACTTGGTGATTAAGAGGGCAGAAGGCCCCTGTTTGGGAAAAGCACCAATTTCAGTAGCCGCCGTAGTCTGGGGACAAGGACAGGGCTTCTAGTCCCTGCTGTGCCCAGCGATGCTACCTCGGGTAGGTGCCTTTGCCTGCCTGTGGAATGATGTCATCAGGCGAGATGACTCACGATGACCCTCCCGTGCTGACAGCTTTGACCTTTGCAGATTTCGGTTGCACACCCCTGGCACATTCCTCACTCCCCTCCTCTGTCCCTGCACGTGTGCAGAGCATGGGGCAAGAGGACAACTGGCAACACTTCCCCTCGCTTGGTTTCCTCCGTCCTGAACTTTATACTGAAAAATAAGACAGCTTCTTCCAGAGGGGAAAGAAACAGCGGGGATTCGTTGGAAGGTTCTGTTATGCAGAAAAGAAGCTGAAATGTGAGAAATTCCCTGTCAACAGTGAAAGCGCTCCAGAGGCAGAAAATGACACCATGCCACCCTGGAAGGAGCAGCCGCCAGAAAGCCCGGAGAGTAAATGTGTCACATGCAGGGACGTGCTAGGGTCAGGTGGGAAAACACCTTAGGTTGGCTACAATGGGAGGGTCCTCGGGTTGCACTGAGGTTCAGTGGGGGCTTCTGGGCAGGGCCGGAGATGTAAAGAGCTCCCCTCTACATTTTGATACCTGGTGGGCGGGTGCATTCAACCACATTAGCTAAGGGCTTACCGTGGGCCCATCATGAATCTAGGTACTGGGGATCCAGAAAGGACAAAAAACACAGTCCTTGCCTCCGTTAGGTGCACAGGCAGACAATTTTCCATGGACAAATATTAAATGTCAGGTGACAGTAAGGGCTGGTAGGAAGTGCAAGTCAGGGTTAAGGAGGCAGGGAATGATGATGGCGGCAAGGAGAAGACTTGATGATAAGGTGGCATTTGAGCAGAAGCCCCAAGGAAATGTACAATCTGGATATATGGGGAACAATATGGACACTGTTTAAATGATAATATTATTAAATTTAATCTATCAGGTCTGTGACATGTAAACAATATCAGGTTGATAATCATATAAAGCAAATACAATTCCCTTAGTTATTCTGTCCCAAACAAAAAAACTAGGTCAGGGAAAACTAGTCTTAAGATCTAGATTTCCTACATAATCGCCTATATTTCCCTGTCCTGCTTTTATTTGTATTTCTAACCATGGGATACAGGTCCCTCCTCCCTGCCCTGCCAAAACCCAGGACAGCTCAGTGTCAGGCCCTGCATCCGCTATGATTACTGTCACCAGGGACTTAGGCTCCAAAAGCAGGCACGAGAGGGTGAGCATTCCAGGCGCGTCACCAGCCTGTGCTTGACGGTGGAGCTCTTGGCCCACCTGCTCTGGAGCAGTCACATGGGCCTTAAATGGCCCAGGGCCTGGCAGCTGGGCACAAGTGGAGCCAGGCTGCCTGGGCAGCCAGCTGGTGAGGGATAGCGAGCTGCCCTCCTGGCAGATGAGGAACGTGTTCCAAATTCC